GGGGGGGGGGGGGGGTGAAATACCCAAACAACAAATACTCAGCACCTAAACAAAGTAGGAAAAATAGCAAACTATACTCAGGGTAAAACGCATGTTCTTCTTACCCCAAGAAACTTAAATTGTTAATGCGGAATCAATTTTGTCATATGAAAGGGCAGTTTAGGCTATACAGCTATTTAAAGAGGAAAAGTTTAAAGAAAAAGACACAACTATGTTCTGAATTCATCCAATTTCAGTCTAGTATTGTTCAACTGACTTCACTACTCCAGATTCAGCCAAGATGTTGGACAAGAAAATTTTAAAATTTAGCTCTTCAGTAATCACTGAGATATCATAACTAAATTAAGTCCTTTTATCATAAAGCAAACCTTCATATCTCCACACGAAGTCTGACAAAGCAAAGAGGAAGATGTCAATGCTTCACTCGCCTGTAGGACTGACACATGGCAGGAGTGCACTCCCCTTCTGCCTTCACCATACATAACAGCATTATTTTAGAATCAGATACATAGGTTGCATGGGAGAGAATTTCCATCTGATTAGAATGAAAAACTTTTTCTTCTTCCACTAGAAATAGGGCATTATATGAGGACATGTGTAAAAATTATTGTTAAAACTCACCTCCCATTGCAGTCAATGGGATTTTTACCATTAACCTCAGTACAAGCAATTAAGCAGCGATGCAGGCTAATAAAATCCATTCTTAAAATTCTTGTCATATCCTTTTTTTTTGTAAGTTACTGTCACTCTCATAGGATAATTTCACCTACTTAAGAGATTTCCCTTGAGAAATGGCAGATTTTTCATCTCCAGCACAAGAAAGCTTTTTAACTCCTAGCACAAGGAGTGACATAAGCATGTCACATAAACACAAAACCAATGTCAAATTTAAAAAAGGTTAATACAGCAATTTAAGTGCATAGATTATGCATGTTTTACGCAAGATCATTACACAGTGCCACAGGCAAGCTACCAGCCAATTTGATTACAATGACCCCAAAATAAATTTATAAAGTTTTATTTTTCTGGAACAACAGAGATTCCATCCACGTCTTTTATGGTCACAAAGTGAATTTCTACAGAAATCTTTGTTATATTTAGAATCCATTGAGGCCAAGCAGGACTAATTTGTAAATTATTTATAGTACTGACTTTCCAACATCAAATCTTTTACCATAAAGATGCCCTCCCAGTCACCATCTGTGTTATTACTAATTAATTTACCAGTTCATTTCTTTCATCTGCTAAGAGAGTATTTCTGTCTTCCAGCTTCCTTATTACAGCATTCAGTTCAGCGATTTTTAACTGAAATCTCCGCACATCTCGTTCATCCAAATGCTGCTCCTTTACATCAAAAACATATGGATATATAAAATTACCTTTTAAAAATATTTTACTATCCATAAATTTAATATCATGGTTTAGCAAGTGGATTGTGTAAATTTAAAATAAACTTTTTACATCAATATCTGGAAAACTTATTTTAATTAACTGAGACACTGAACAATAACATCCTGTGGAAATGTTACATGATATATTACATGAAAAGCATCTACTTGTGAAAAATATGCAAATTTTAACAATCTTTTTAAAAAAGTTAGATAAATATTTCACCTACTACTGGTTACTTCTCACCAGATTTCTTACTATCAGCTAAAAGTTAAAAAACCTAGTGCATAGGACACAGATTAAAATCACATGGCACAGTTTTTGAAAAGTATAGAATCTTTTGCCATTGGTTAAAATAACTCCTAAAGTTACGAAATAAATAATTAAGAAAATAATGAGATCCACAGCTGATGTTCACAATGTAAATCCTAAAAGTTCTATATCCATAGATTTTTCAACATTCTTTGAAATTCAAGAGATCCAAGGATTTTCTAAATCACCAGCAAAACAGTGCAGTGCAGGGCCACTTACCATGAATTAGTCCTTGCAGTATTGAAAAGTAACCACAAAACCAGTGTGAACACCCAGGCAGCAATTATCTTGTGCTGAACATCTGAAGAAAACACAGTTTTCTTACCGGGCTTCCCATCAGTTCAGTGATATCCCCAACTCCCGCAGGAAGCTCTCTCTTAGGACTACTGTGGTATCGTTCTGCCTCCTTCACTTGGACAAGCTGTTCATCCAAAGCCTCTTTCTGCAGGAGCAGTTTCTGTGTATGGCCTGCCTGGACACCAAGGTCTTTCTCCAGAGCCAGGATCACTCTGTCTTTGCCTTTTATCTCATCCATCTGGAAAGAAATAAAGCAAGAAGGAAGTTTCTGTAACAACTCCAAGTGTTCACTGCGTGCATAGCCACAAACTTGCAAAAACAAAGTTCTGTTTCTCTCGGAATTATACCAGCAGCCAAACTGTCATTGCTAGATAGAAGATATATCTCCTCTGAAGCCCTTCCCCTCCCCTTATACAAGTTTCAGCCTTCACTTTATCATGAGTTTACTCAGTGCACTCTCAGCTCAAAAGACAAACAGAAATAGATACAAACATACACTGAAACAGAATACATAGCCACTGAAACCATCCACTTCATCTGAGGATACACACTTCTATAAGCAGAAGAAAAATCTCCTTTCACGGTGCTTCAGAGAAGAAACACAGGGCCAGTATAGGATAAAACAAACACATTCTTTAAAACTCACCTGAGCTTTGTTTTAAAGCGTGAGCCATACACATTTGCCCCATGTTGACTCCCTCTGTATCAGTGAAAATTACATGTGGTGAATCTCTTCACAGACTTTTACAAATTAGCAGCATACACACATACATTTAAACTTAAAATCTTAAGCATACCTATGTATTTTATGTGCCCTTGCTATAAGATTCAAATGAGGACTAGTCTTTGTGTAGAAGGAAAAAAAGCAAATGCACACAGAGCATTAGAATAAAGGCTAGGAAGAAACAGTTTTTAAACACCATCTATGGTTACTGAACTGTGTTGTTCATACATCTTGATATCAAAAAAAGCACACTGCTAGCAGTGATCTATTGCAGCTCTCACAGGATTTGTTCCTCGCAACATCAGGGTTAAATTCACTTTGGTACTATTCCAAATGCTAGAGGAAGTGACAATCTGCAGCAGTTACTATAGAAACAGATTTCTTAATGAGAATGTTAACCATTAACAATATATTTATTGGAACTGTGCTATATCTCCTTCAGTTTACTGAATTGTTTTGTTAGCCAACATAAACCCATGGAATTTTGAGAATAAGACTACAATAGTCTTATTTGAAAAAATAAAATAAAATAATGAACTTGTTAAATCATACATTTGTTGCTTGTTATAGTCCTATATCCACAGAAGTCCTTTTTATCAGCTAAAAGTTAAAAAAAAAAAAAAAAAGGAAAAAAAAAAAAGGAAAAAAAAAAAAAAGAAAAAACCATGGTAGAAGTAATTTATAAGTCTGAGTGATGTACTGAATTAACACAATCAGATTGTATGAGCCAAAATAATAATTTGCTACTTCAGGATTCTTGCCTTACTCTTCTCACAGTCTACAAAGCACACAAAATTAGTTTGTGTACAGAATCTGAGTGGCAGGAGACAGACCTGTCTGAACCAAGTCAAGTCATAATTGGAGATAAAAAGGTCTGATCTGAAGTCAGTAAGCTGGTCTATATTGCTTTTAAGTCCCAAGTGGAACTGATGAAGTTTGGTTCTGATGGAGATTTCTTTCCTGATTTGCGAAGGTTCCTACATTTCAGCTCCTCACCCAGTGAATAGGTATAATACTTTCCAGTACATTAATTCAGGTTTATGAGACTTTCAAGCATACCAAAAAGGACTTGCAGGAAAAGAATGTCGTTTTTATTAATGGAAGAATTTGCAACATGCAGGGTTTCAGAGGGACTGTGCAGTGAACAGCAATGACAAAAATTAAGCAGCTGCCTCATTCACTGAATGCTATCTGTCATGGACATTGATCTATCAGGGACCTCTTGGGAGGAAAAAATGTAATGTAACTAAATACTCAGGACAGTTTCGCTTTCAATTTCACAGGTGTTCACACTGAACATCTACGTACTTGAGAGAGAAACTTGGCCACACAAGGCATACATTTAACTGGGAAGAACCGAGGTTACACAGGCAGCTCTGATTTTAGTTACCTGATTAGTAGCACATTTCATACACTTCATATTCTCACAATTTAAATGGTAAATGAAATGGCATAGGTGTTTAAATTGGAAGAAAAAAGAAAGCAAGTCTCGGTACAGACTGCTACTTGCTGAATAGCAGAACAGATCTTTTGAAACAGATGTGATCCCTGTAACCCTGCCCATGTCACCCTTCACGCACACTTCCATAGATCAGAGCACACAAGCTCACACACATGAGAAAGAAATGTCATGAGAAAGCGTGGCTTCGGGGTGGAGATTAGGGGAAGGTGATAAGAAGGCAGAATTCCTCTGCTCTTCCTGCTGGTGTTTTTTCTACCATAAAATCTACATGTGGTGAAACTTTCAGAAAATAAGAAACACCCCATGTTTCAGTCACATAGAAAAATCTTTGAGATGCTGATAATAATTGAAAATAGCATTATAATAGCAATGACTGCATATCCTTTTTTTGTTTTGGGCTTATATTTTAAGTTACAGGAAGGCACCTGAGAATCTCTTACCCATCTAAACATATGCATGTGTGCACACACACACAGAAATACACAGAGCATTGCAATAGCGCTTATTTTTTATAAGCACAAAGTAGCAGCAAGAAGAATTTCTAAGCAATTTTGCTCAACTAACTTATTACAAACTGATAAAGATGAATGGAACTGCAGCAGTAATGCCTCTACCTTGAGTTCTGTTTCAGAAGCCTGGAGCACAACACCATTCTCCTTTCCTCAAGGGGACAGTCACACCTTTGATTTCTCCAATGTAACTGCATCAACCCAGCCAATGTCTCAATTTTCTTAAATTTACCCCAATGCCTGAACCAAAGTTTTAACATCTTTCTTCAGACTTGCACACTACAGAGCAAACTTGCTCATCCTTCCTGTCTGCTTTCTTACCAAAGAGTACAAATTATTCCAGAGAGGGGAAAAAAATAAAATTAAAAAAAAAGGAAGAGAAACATTTTACAGGGATGCAGCATCTCTCAGTTCCACATGGGAGAGATGGCAGTTCAAGGGGCAGGCAGGCAAAGAAAGAGGAGGTACAAGACTAGGAAAAGGAGAGACATGGTTTAGGTTTAAACTGAACACAAGCCGACAGAGAAGAAAGGTCAACCACGCCCAATATACTTTAGTTTAGCTTAGTCTTATATATTCTAATAGTCATAAAAGCTCACACAAAGTCTCCATACCAGTTCTGTACCACTGCAGAGCTACTCTTTCTTGAATTCCTGGCACATTTAGTTACACAAAGAAAAAAGTTGGCAGCATAAAGGGAAACAGACTTAGGTAATTGGGCTATGTATTACGGTCTTTATTTTAGTGGGGAGAGGAGTATCTTCCATTAGGTAAATGAAAATCAAAATGGATTAACCTGTGTTCCCTGCTGTTTGCTATTTTGATCAAATATATGTTGTGGAAGCAACACTGTCATAGCCAAGATTTTCTAGGAACCCACATGGTCTAAAAGAGAAGAAATAATTTTTATTAGACCAAGTGACAAAGTTGGAAAGAAACGAGTTTTAACACACCAAAGCCCTTCAGCAGATTAAGAAGCTGTATGCTTAAAAGCTTGTCAATTTTTCCACCTATGTAAGTTTGCTTTTCCCATAAATGTTTCAGTCTCTCTCTCTCTATATATATATGATGTGTATACGTACATGTGTATGTACATTCACAAACACACAGAATGTACCTATACATGTATATATACACCTGCATATACACACACACATTTTGAGATATTTTCCAATTGTCACTTATGACTACTGTAGACAAGCTGAACATCATTGGCTTTTAAGTGAAATAACAACTAGTGGTCCCCTCACGACCTCAGGTTTAAAGGTTTAACCCTGTATTCTATTACTACAATGTTAATTCATCAGACAGCATCCAGAATTTGTTACTTTACCACACATAGCATTCCTTTCTTTTTCATGCTTCTTAATGTCCATTTTACATCACTAAGAAACCATCCCTAAACTACTTATCACATACATACATAAGTTGTCATCTTTAATTCTGTTCTTCCCCAGGTGCAATCTGATTACATGTAAAGACTCTGCCTATCAGCTCTAAAATCTATACACAGAAGTAAACTTTTATGTGAGTTCCTATATCATTGCAACATTCTCCTTTCTGACCTTAAATATTGTCCTGCCTGCTCTGCTCACCATCCAACATGAACGCTGCTGTTAATGATGCTCTTTTCAACCACAAATCTCTCATCTCTGGATTCTCTAAGCTGTTCTTCTTTTTCCTACCTTGAACAACAACAAGAATAAAAGTGAGTCTCATTTTCGAAAATGTTCACAGCCTAACTGGAGTCCATTCATCCCTTATCTAATATTAGGGTGCTATGTCTCCTCCCAAATACCAGCTTGTCATATATGCACTCATGCATTTTCATGTTTTCTCCCATGCCACTGTTCCTGCTTGAATGGACACTTGAGAAATATCCATCTAGTTACCTGACTGACCTTCCTCAAATTCCTCTTATTATCTCTCCATTTCCATGATATGTCTAAAGTACAAAAGGAAACAGTGAAACAGGATACCTAAACTAGCAAATCCCTGAGAACCTAAGACACAGGAAATACATTACAGAAATATAGGAATTTTTCTACTGGAAATGATGCAGGCATGTTAAGGCCAGCACTGAGATGAAGCTAATACACCTGGATGGATCACTTATCATCTGATTATTCTTGACCTGATTCTGAGCAAGCAAATGCCTTTCCATCATGGTCCTCAGCCCCTCATGGTCCAGGGAGCATGGTGCAGGGCCTGCAATGCTACGTACCTGTAAGAGGTTTCTGCACCTGCGGCACAATGTACCTGGGACAAGCAACACTTGGCAACTGAAAGCTGAGTGCACTAATCTCCTCTCCTGGTTTTGGGCTGGGACAGAGTTAACTTTCTTCATGTGAGGCTAGCATGAAGATATGTTTTGGATTTGTGCTGAGCAGAAGGCTGATAACATTCTGATGGTTATAGTTGCTGCCAGGACAGGCAAGGACTTTTCAGCTTCTCTGCTGTGCCAGTGTCTGCAGGTGCAGGAGAAGCTTTGAGGGAGCCTAGCACACAATTACTGGCTTAGGATTCAACTTCAGGTCTAGGAC